CTTGCACTGACTTCCCACTCGCAACTAACTTGCTCTCTCTTCTCGATGGGCCGTCTACTTTGTTTTTGCCCTGTTGACTCCATTTTCCCTCCTTCCTGAGATCAGGTGAATCCATCATACCAACGTTGTCCGCCGGCGACAGACGCTCCGCAGTCGGGGCCCAGGAGCTCCACGGCAGTGCAGTTTGCTATGCGAGCCATGCGTGACGTTTACGTTCGGCGGGCATAAAAACCCCATCCGCTTCACTGAACACCCAAGAAACCATGAACGTACTGTCTCTCTCCTCACTTGCCTTGACTCTTTTCTGTGCTGTTCCTGGGCATCTCGCAAGCCCAGCGCCGCAACCAGACACACACAATCCCGCGTTGTCTTCTCGAAGCGTCCTCCCAGCCGCCTCCTATTCCGTGGCGTTCTCCAAGAAGGTGCCGCGCCGCAAAGCGAAAGTCGACGCGCTCTCTGCTCTCCGCGGTAGCGTTGTGTCGCGTCACGCATATACAACGGTTCCTCTAGCAGGCAGTAACTTGGACACCGACTACCTTGTAAACGTCACTATCGGTGGGCAAAATTTCAGCCTCATCATCGACAGCGGAAGGTGAGTAGATGTAAATGGAATCCTGGAAGTCATTAATCGTTTTTTTATCCATGTAGCTCGGACACCTGGGTGCCGCAGGCAGGGTTTTCCTGCTTCAACCTTACCGGCAGTCCGGTACCGCAGACGACGTGCAATTTCGGTTCAACTGGCTTCAATGCGAATTCATCCAAAACTTTCGAGTTGTATCAAAATGTCAGCTTTAATCAAACGTATGGAACATCTGAGTACGTTGCGGGACCAATCGCCTTGGAGACCGTGTCCGTCGGTGGACTGGAGGTGTCGCGACAGGTGGTACCGATTCCAGATGTCGCATCGTGGACGGGAGACGGCATTCTATCGGGTATCCTCGTGCGTCGCTCGACCCAGTAACGAAACAATTCTTGTCTCATTTCGCGGTCGCAGGGTCTCGCCTTCCCAAACGAGACCAGTCTTTTCAACACCTCCGACCCAACCACGGCCTCTACGAAAAACCATATTCCGTATGATCCCTTCTTCTTTACCGCGGTCAAGCAGAAGAAAGTCGAACAATCCTTGTACGTGCCTTCACCTTGCCCAATTTTGCATTTGTTGACCACACGCGTAGACTTTTCGATCGCATTGAATCGCCCCACTGCCGAGCAAGCAGAAACCGAGCTTTACACCCCCAATCTCGGATTGCTCGCCTTTGGCGGCGTCGCCCCCGTTCCAGTGATCCACAACACATCGGTCACCGTCCCTGTTCTAGCCTACCCCCCCACCGCTGCCGAATCCAAACGACAGTTCTTGTTCTATACTCTCTCCATCGACTCGTACAACTTCCCCGGCAGCGAAAACGTCCCCGAGGCGCGCAACGCCTCCCTCGGCAACGGCACCACCATCCTCGACACCGGCACCGCGTTCAACCTCGTCCCCGCACCCGTCGCCGCGGGGTACGCGGCCGCGTTCGACCCGCCTGCAGAGCTCGTCACGATCACCGGCCTAACCCTATACGTCGCGCAGTGCAACGCGACGGTCCCTCAATTCAGCGTCACAATCGGCGGCCAGGCATTCAGCATGGATCCGCGGGACCAGCTTGTGCCGTTTGTCACTGACGCGCAGGGGGATGTGACCTGTGTTCTTGGGACGCAGGCACAGGGTGGGCCGGATATTGCCTCGGACTTCCACCTGCTGTGCGTGTTTTCTCTCCCTCGTTCTACGTTTATGGCTGATATTTAAAACGACTCCGCAGGGGAGACACCTTCCTGCGCAATGTCGTCGCGACCTTCAATCCGATTGGCAGGAAGATTACTCTGACGCAGCGTGTCGCGTACTAAACTGGGCTTCGAGCGAGGAAATGAACTGCTGAACACTTCCGGCACCCACGCACTTTGTAGAAATCGAAGTACATAATTTAAAATAATGACCGCGTTAATCTATACAAGTTTGTCTTCAGGCACGCCACCCCATGCCCAGCCTGCCTCAAGATGATCCATCTCCAATTCTATAAGTCTATCCATTGCCAATGCCAATACACGCCTACATACCTCACAAGAGGAAAAGCAATCAAGACGCAGACCGGGACAACTATTACCTCTAACGAACTAACCAGACACGAACTAAATACACCGGAACGCGAGAACAACAACACGAACAAGACAGACGAGTGAGGTATGCAAGAAAAGGTGAGTATGCAAAGAGCAAAAAAGAAAACTATGGACATGGGTCAGTCGGTATAGGAACAGTAACAGTGCAGAGAATGCAGAAAGATATGTCGACAAGATGATATGATGATGCGCTGCGGTGTAATGTGTTGATTATGTGCATGCCACGATCGCAGAGCCAGGGAACACTCTACCTTATCCTCAGGGAGCCAGCGAAACGAACGGAATCGAAACAAAAGAAAGCCGCATCAGGACGCGGGAAGTCGGTAGGATGTCCCTCCTTCCTCCTCTCATGTTCGGCGACTCTGATTCACCCCACCAGTCCGCCGACGCCTGTTGCTGAGACGGGGAACAGCGAAACGAAAACGAAAAAGACCATGTCAGGAAGTACGATGCAAGACACAAGAGGCAGGAATGAGGGGCCAAGAGCCAAGAGGCACTGGGAGTATCACAGGGCGCATCTCCGCCCCACCCCCCGCGCAAGGTGTCGTAGCGCCACGAGCCAGCTCCCTACAGGGAACTCCTCCCGCCCAATGTCGCCGGCGACCATGCGCCTCACCCTCCCCTCTCCCCGCACTCCTCACCTCCGCTCCCGCTCCTTCCCCAACAAGTCTTGCCAAAGAAGAGAAATTTCTCCCTCCACAGGACGAAGGAGGTCTTCCCCTCTCCACACTCGTGCACTCCCCCCTCCTCTCATAGGCAATGAAGCAAACTCTCCTCGAAAGACGCCCCAAAAGAAAACACCCCAAAAGATATAAAAGCTCCTTCTTCGGCTTTACACAATTTCGAGACGAGACGAGGAAACGGAGGGAATAAGAGAAACAGAAACTGGGGAAAATAAAAGAAGAATAAAATCGAAAGTACGAATTTTTTTTTTTAATCGAAAAAAACGTCCAAACACACCGGATACTGCGGAATCGGAATGAGCACCCCGTCCGTCGGGGCGGTGATGAGCATGTTGATGAGCAGCGAGACGCCCGCGGACGCGCTGGCGGTGAGGAAGATGTCGTCCGGGGTGGCGGGGTGGGCGTCTCGGGCTAAATAAGAAAAGAAATAAAAAAAACTGCAGCAAGACGAATAAGAAGAGCACACGCATTCCGCTCCCTACAGGTACGCAACAGAAGAAAGGGTCGAGCAAACGCAGAGAAAAGCGATGGGAGACTGCAGGCAGCAGGAACCCCTGATCTTCCGCCCCAATCCTGCGTCCCGCACTCCCCCATCGTGGAGAGCCAGCACCATCGCGATCCAATCTTTGTATGTGTGTAGATCCCATAGGAGTAGCGCTGCTCCGCCGTAGTTCTGCGTCCAATTTCGGCCCCGTATCTTTATGAATCAACTCGCGCGCCCCGATTGAAAAATACTCAATGGAGAAAGAAACAACAATTGGAAAGGACACGCACCCTCAAACCGCGGACGCTCTTCCGTTGCTCTTCCGAATAAACGGCACGCCCTCGCTATACAAGTACGCGCCGATGGAACCGATTTCCTCCTGCAGCTCCTTCGCGCGGGCAATGACGTCGGCGGGGAACACACCGGGAGCGAGCTCGGCGAGCGCAGGCCATTCCGTTAGGGCGGTGACCTGAAGGGTGGCACCCCAATTTCATGTAAATTCAGTGGAGATCTATGAGAACCCACCTGGCGCGTAAAAGTAATCGGCGGCTGGTCGAGCCCCTTCCGCTGCGGGTTCCCGATATTCGACGAGATGACCTTGTCTAATGGGAGGTTATGCCCGCCGCTTTTCAGCTGGTCGCGGTACGTCTCGGCCTTGATGGCGAGCTCGCCGCGGACGGCGTACTGCACCGTCTGCAGCTGCTGGTTGAGCGAGTCGAGGGTGAGAGGGCGCATCGTTTTGAAGGAGAGGGAAAGGGAAAGGGGAGATGGTTGTCGCAGGAAAGAACCCGAACGCCGCAACGAGGCCACCAGCATCGATTGGCCCGTAACTCGTGTTTCACGGTGCCAATCAGATCCTCAGTTCGTTGTCCGCTTCCACCACGGCCTTTATAGGGTGCACTGAGGGATATGTGCGACTGGCGATACGCTCAACCTCAACAGCAAGACAGCAAGCCGCGTATTAGCCGCCTGGGTTTTTAGCGGAGGCAAATTTTGTTCGGACGAATCGGAGTCGGCATATATCGGACTTTCACCCATGACTCCGGTTTGCTTTCTCAGGGTTTACCTGGGGTTCGCTCTGGGCTCTCTCGCGCTCACTTGAGACTTCTCATTGCCAATGCCTATTTTCTCCGAGGCTCGTTCCATTGGACGGGTGCCACGGTACAGCGATGTATCTCTGGCTGTTGCAAAGTTGCGACCTGGCTTAACTGCTATCTACCTTACAGGATTGATGCTGTATCGACGTGCCCCACCGGCAAGACCGCACGCTACCGGGCGGGCCAACCTCGGACAATCTCGGAACTACCGCCTTCAAGTTGATTTTTATCCGCCCGCTTCCCGAACGGAATTATTTAAACCACCCGAGCTTCCCCGGTCTGAACCCCGATACCTCGGTCCTTGCTGCAGATCACAACTCAACGCCCTCGACCCACACTTGCGCGACCGATGCAACAATTTGCTAAACAAAAACAGAAGGATAACGCCGAGATGGATTCGAACGCGAGGAGTCGAACCCCGACTTGCAGCTGACCATTGGACAGACAACGCAGGAATAATCAAGAACTGCCGTGCACCACGCACCACACCCGAGTTGAGGGGGTAGGTCAGACGCCGGATACCTAGGTGAGTTCCGTGTGCCCAAATGAGGTTTATGAAATAAAACTTTATCGAGACCACATTTCGGGCGCGGGGAGTCGAACCCCGTCTTGCGGCTGACCATTTTCCCTTTGAATCCACATCAGGAAGCGCCGTGCGCCGCGCACCACACCCGAGGTCAGTATATCAGACTTGAAGACAGAGGGCCTCATTGCCGCCATCGGCCTCTGTAACTTCGACGCTCTCCACACCGCCAAGATCTGTGCTAGGTTCCCCGGCATAGTTGTCTCGAATCGGATTCCTGTGCGTATTACTCGTCGCAGTTGCGCTGCCGCAATGCTGAAGCTAATATCGGCACTAATATTCCCACGCCTAGTTCTCGGTGGTGGATACACGAGCTCTGTATGCGATGGCCGGCGTGTGCGCCAAGCACGGCTTGAAGTTGCTGACTTATGGAACACTCGTTTGCGGCCTTCTCCGGAGCCTCTGTTTATACAGCTGACGTATTTTTTCAGTGTGGCGGCTTCCTCGCGGACAAGTGGATCGGTTAGCTCGAGCAGGATCCATACTCTGGCTCACTCAATCCTTCGCAACGCAAGGCATGCGCCCCTGTTTAATTTGCCCACCGTGCACTGACGGTTAAACGTCAATTTATCACATTGATCTTCTCTTCCGGCCTGAACAACTCAGTACCTTGACCTCATCCTGAAAGCGTGGGGCTCCTGGGCACTGTTTCAAGAACTCCTGGTCGTCCTGCGTGGCATTGGTCAACGTCACAGCGGCGCGAGTGTCTCTAATGTTGCCACTCGTTGGGTCCTGGATCATCCAGCGCGGTGATCGTCGGTGAGTAGCTTTGGTTCATCGTGCTCTCCTTGCTACTGTATTCCCTCTTTCCGCCCTGTTCCTTTTTGCCCTCTTCCTTCCACCCCATACCCTTTCTCCCACATATCTCTGTTTGACTGCTGCACGACTCCTCGCAACGAGCTAATCTATCATCAGGCGCGCGCCTCGGATGCACCGAGTATCCCGCGGACAACCTCAAAGTCTACAACTTGGTATTAACCGCAACAGACCACACAGAGATTGAAGAGGTGTTAGCAAGGAGCGCGGGACGGCATCTCATCGAGACGATCGGAGATGTTGGGGCGGAATATCGTTGACCAAGTGCCACCACTATGTATAGGCTACCTCCGTGCTTCGTCCACTGTGTAACTTCGATTTTTCTCATGTGCCTCCCTTGCCTGCCACTTGCTACAAAATATTTTCCCCTTGACTTTAATCCCAATGGCGACCTCCATTATTTCGTATTCGCGCTGTGTTGGTGGAGGGATCCTTGACGACGAATTCAAGAACCGGCAAGCCATCCTTCTCACCGGCGAATTGTTTGAAAAGTTCCCAATCCCGCGTCGAGTTCGATTTGGTAAAACACCCACACAGTGTTTGCACGTCAAAACACGGAGGGGAAGTAGACCCGCAAACTGTCATTTTTAATTCATTGCGGATTGAATGCGGAGTTACATGTCCATCTGATCGTCAAATAATTGAGCTCGGGCTTTGCTGTCTCTGAATTTATCCTACAAGTAAGCATGGGAGGGACATGATCAGGTACCAGGGGCAGCTAAAGCCCGCAAAGACGAGAGGGCAATGACTTTCAGAACAACACCATCTCACACCCAATAGAATGTCAAAACACTCCTTGGTTGGAACGTTAGAACTAGAGAGAACTCCAATATATCTCTCTCTTCTTGCTGAGAAGAATAGCCATTTTAAGCACAGTTTTTCTCAAGTAAGTACTGTTCAAGGACTAGCTGTAGTCCGCCTGAGAAGTCCTTTACGAGAGTGATATATCAAAGTTGAACATCAGAAGATCGAAAGGCCGTCAGAACAGTTCGGTGATCTTTTGGTGATCTGCCTCTTGACGGGATTCAACACATCTATTTGCCGTGTTGATGTCTTCATCCCCACTAGGACTAACTAAGATTTAGGAGAGCTTCGGAAGCCTTCACCATGTATCTGTCAATCTTGTCAATCATCGTCCTGAATCCCACAAGCGCGAGCGCTTAAAATGACTTCTGACATCGGGAGAACCATCGCAGTACCTTCGGAGCCTGCATCCACGGGCGTGTAGAAGTGTTGGATCGACATTGCATTTACATCTCAAGCCCGCTTTAAGTCGACGTGTCGCTCAGACTGTCATATCTAGATCTATATCAGCGTTTCGAGCATGCGATCATCGTGTCTTTCTATTTCATTCCAAGTCCCAAAGGGGAGCGCACGGCGCTTGAGAGTAGCGACACTTGGGCTCGAATTGAGAATAAGCTCGGACCAACCCGTCTTCAAAGACTTCCATGGATTGAATGATGACACCGCGTTCGCAGAATAAACGCCGGGGTTGATTGACCACTACCTTGAAATTCTGGCGACGCCACAGCATAGATGTTAAGGACTGAAGATAAAACCGCGCGGCGGTCACCGCCGGATAAACGGATATCATAATACTCACTAGGGGTTACCATGCGCCTGAGGCATGAAGCCATTGAAACCACCTCCCCACGAGCTCCGAGAACGGATTCAGAACAGTGCTGCTGAGAAATTCAAGTACAACGTATGCTCGGCGCTAATCCCCGACCTGTCGGAATATGCGTCGGGCGTTCAGTCATGTCCGCTGCGCAACATCGAAGGCTACCTGTTCGTCGACCTCAGAGAACTCGGGGTACGACATGGCAATCACGCGCCTACCATACCGCAAACCCTTTTGTTTGACAGCTCCGAGTGTACTGTGGACCTGCCACACAATTAATCCGTCTGCCCCGGCAAAAACGAAAATCCCCGACTTCTCCTTGCGGATGTCGTATAGTCCCCGATTCTCCGAATCGCCTCGAAAAGGCTGAAACAGGCAGAAAACTCTGTCCAGTCAGCCGGCGGGAGTCACAAGGTAATTAAGCTATAACTTGCCCCATGATGCCTGTCTTCCCAGCTGAGAAACTTCCCCCTCGAGCCCCTTCCACACCCACTAAAAACAAGAAAGAATGATCTACACCGACAACACAATGATCCAGTAAGGCATCGGCCATGTGTGCGTACCCTGCGGCGCGCACCTAGCACGCTCTGAAGACAATCCCCTAGAAACATGATGGCAGACGTAGTCTTGGTGAACGCCAGCCAGAGGAGTGAGTGTGTCGCTCGTGCACCGTGGAATTGCACATTCATGCCTTGCCTTGGAACAGCCTGCGCGCAATCCTGCGCAACATGCTTTCATCAAAAACCCCCGGGCTTATTGCCGCTTTCCTCGCATCGACACGCACGCGCCTGCACCACCGCAGCGGAGGCGGTGCCGTAGCCGAGCTCAAGCAGCCGTTGTTCTCCGAGGCGGGACCCGACGCACCAGCACCGCAGCTTCTCGCGAGCCTCGCCCGCGCACGAATGCTGTACGGGAGCGGGCTCGGTTTCGCGGGCCTTCAGCCCCTGGCGGCGGTGGTGCGGTCCACGATTGGGCACCGCTGGCTGCCCGAAGGCCAGATCGCGTATGCACTGGTCATGGCCGATGCGGACCTCGCGCAGGGATTGCAGGTAAGCCTCAGGCTGCGCTACCCGATAGTTCCAGCGAATTGATTTGATTCCCCTCCTTCCCGTAGAGCTGCAAGGAGGAGATGCAGGGAGGGGCAGCAGTGGACTACGCAGCGGGGAGCGCCGCGCTGAAAGAGTTGGAGGCGGCCCTGGAGGCAAGTCGGCGAGATGTAGAGGAGTGGGGAGGGGAGTTTCCGTTCGAGCGCGCCATGTTCAGCGTGCTCGATTTCAAGCTGTAGCATCCACTCTTGCTTCAAATTCATTCATCTGTGTAATATCATGTCTATCGATTTCGGCTCACTGAAAACGGGCTCTTTCTATTCGTCGGTCGAGACGAGAGCAAGGCGGGCACGAGTACACCGGGCTTCTGCGCAGTACGGGGGGTCCAGAGCTGCTTTGGGAATAGCAGTCGTTCTTACATCCCTATGCGCATCGATTCCCCGGCAAATTGACCAAGTCCGCAGCCCAGAGAGCGAAAAGACGGAATGAAGCGCTGTATCCAAAGAAGGCATATGGCTTCAGAATGTATGTAAGTCATTAACGAATTGAGGGAGGCGGATGACCAGCGCAGAATGAGACGGCCTTCTGGTTGTTAGCCACGGGAGATAGCCGACTTCACGTCCTCGTTCGGCGTTTGGCCCAGAAGATGAACGAAATTCACCCTGTGCCGGCGCGGCATATCCAGGATAACCCAGGACAAGACTCCCGGAGCGATATCGCGGATCCTGCGTCGATAGGGTTCATGGACCGCGGTAAATGTGTAAGCCATCCGGAAGATATGCAGTTGGGGAAATACTCTTGGGGTATTGTTGTAGTACGTAGGTGTGGCAAGTGTGTGGCCTAGAATCACGACACCCCGGAAATCTTGCGGAAATCGGTTCCATTAGTTATCCCGGCACTTGAAAGCGCCGGGGCCAACTTGGAGTCTATAAAGGATACCGAGGCAGAAGAATCGGAAGAGGCGCCGGTCGAATGGGAGGAAAACGAGACTGTGATCACCATCAAGCGGCGGCGGCGTCGGTGGTGGTAGTGTACTACTACTACTACTAAGTAGTAGAGAAGCAAGCGGCACATATTTGCACTTGGTTTGTCATCGAGCCGAGTCGGCATTGGACGCGGAAAATCACACGGTTTAGTTACTACCGCGGCGCATCCCTAGCGCAACCTTGCAAGTCGACCAAAACACAGCTATGAACACCTGTGAACAACTCTCTAGCTCAGGCAATTCAGAAGATATTCAAGGCACTTCAAGTCCAACCCACCCTTGCTGCCGTTGCCCGGTTGATAACAGCTGCCGGGCTGGATGAACTCAGATGCCCATTCGTCGTTGATACGGACATATTACACAACCCTGTTGGACTTGATCCCATCGCTACGAAATCCTCTATCGACACACCACAGCAAGTACGCTGGACCACACCAGCAGCAAGGGAGGAGGTCCACGTCGTTGCGCGTTTTGGGAATGGGAATTATTCGCAGCCCTGAAGTAGTAATTCAGTGTTAATAACCATTATTTACACGTTGATAACAGTTAGTAACAAAAGGGGTGCTAACAGGTATGAATAATGCCACGTCAACCGCTCACTGTTATTAACATTTGTTACGGCGC